TATATATAATGGTTTCTTTTGCACTTATGTTTTAATATAACCGTACAGTGTACATACTAAGTCACTAATATAAGTAAAATTTCAAACTTGATATGTTAAACTTTTATTTAAGCTCTCCAATTGTAACATTAGTTTGATACGATTGCATAGTTTAATTCCATCGCTACAAAAATTAAACATGAAAATATTAATTTAATTTCTGGATCAGGAATATTTAACGAAAATTAAATTGAATTCTCCTGAGGTTAAAAAAATCAAATTATCCAAAACCCAAATAACTCAAAACCTCAATTGCTGGGTGGTTGTTCAACTTTGGTTTTCTCTTTTTAAACATCCTTAACCAAGATCAATGATATTTTCTAACTATTTGGTATAACTTTCTATTTGTTAATAAACTTTATTACATACTATTAGATATTTGATTCCGTTTTCCCTTAAAAAAAATGTCATACAAAATGCTGCATCTCTTTTACAATTCTAATCTAATTGACCGATTTATTTTTTTTAAAAATTTAACCCTTAAAATACTTTTCACTTTACTTATCAAATAAAATGAATATTTTTTAGATGACAAATTAATTAATAAAACATCTATCAAATCAAACGTTGAATACTTGAATCAAGTAAAAAACAACATGAGTAGCACATCTTGTCGTGGAGATTTGAGACATTATAAAAGTAAAAAAAAAAACACATCATAAATTTCATTTGAGATATAAAATTAAAACAAAAGATATACAAAAATTCATCCAAAATAACCACATAATCAATATACATATCATTCCGAATCACTCTCCACACTTCCCATGGCCTTCAATCCCGTTGGTTTCTGCATTCAATTCACACGCCACTATTAAACACATAAATAAATCAAAAAGAATTTGACATTCGTTTTCGTTTTTAATCATTCTTGTATTATATTTATAACATTAGTTTTATAAAACAATCGATGACACAAAATATGTAAATTCATTGAAGAAGAGAAGAATATTCGTAGACATACCTTCTTCGTACTCTTCTTTTCTCTGACCTCGTATCTCTCTTGGCACATATCGGTCAACCATGCCCCTGGACTCACCAACTGCTCCATCCAACAATTACAATAATAGCAGGGGCAAATTAGTAAAAAATACGATCGATATTGTCAAAAAAAAAAAGTCAACAAAATATTGGTGTAAATAAAATAAAGCCATTTATTTAAAAAAGAAAAAGAATCTTTTCCCACAAATGGCCAAAACTTCACTCAATCATGCAATAGCAACTTGTACCACTTGCAACAAAAGTTCCGATTTTTATAAATACAAATTAATAAAAACACTTAAAAAAATGTTAAAATAATATTTTTTTGAAAAAAATAAGCCCATTTACAAGGTTTCGTGAGGACAAATTAGTAAAACTGTGAAAACGCCCAAAGATTTTTATAGTTCACAAGGACAATTTGGTAAAAGCATAACAGGCAAATAATTATATTTTAAGAGATATGGAGATGAAAAGAAAATAATCGAGGGGAAAATCTTTTTCAAGAAAAAAAAAATCAACAAAAAACGCAATAATCACTTGTACATGTTGCAGTACAAGTTGTACGTAGTTTATTTATTAAAAAAAAACACACACACAGAGAGAAAGTGAGATTAGTATGTGTTCTGTGAATAAAGAAGAAAGACGGATTATGTCGAAATGTTACTTACAAGTAAAGTTCGTTGGATGATTTTGGCCCTTTTCTTAGGTCTATGAGGAAGCTTACAACCTTTCATCGCCATGAAATCTTCTTCTTTCTCCTTGCTTGTTAACGCTATATACAGTTTTGGCCATACATGTTTGCTTTTACAACAACCTTCATCTACTCCTCCGCCGCCGTCTAGGGAGGAGACCTTCGGTTTCTCAACCATCCCCGCCGCCGCACACCCTCTTGTCGTATACTTATCCTCTTTATCGGACGACGATTTCCGGTTGCTTTCCGATCTTAGAGTCGTCGATGCCTCAGCCGTCCTGTATCCCAACACACCACAACGTTCGTAATCGATTTAACAAACACATAAATGAAATTTTACATATCCCTAGTTTCAACACCAACAAAATTTCCAGAAAAGTAAATTCTGGGAGAATAGTTCTTGTTTTAAACGTGATGATGTAAGAAATAAGAAATCCACATCTGATCTCCGTGATTTTTCTGAAAATTTCTGATGTTGTAGATTTTAGAAGATGCAGACATCAAATCCATAAGGAATATTCTGCAAATTTTGAGAAACTTTATAGTGTATGCTGAAGATTTTCAGATGTGTTGTAGGAGATAAATCGGCAAGATGCTTTACCTTGTGAGACGGGTGGATGGAGGTTGGAGAGATGGTTCTCTATTCTCATTATCGGAACTAAAAGTAACAAAATGAGAGTTGATTTTCCGGCGATTCCTACGGCGGCCGGAAACGGCAAACGATGTGTCGGCTGTATCATCTGGTTCTCTCACTCTCACACATCTAAGTCTCTTCTTATTACCCCATCTTAAAAACAAATCTGTTGTAGTTTCTGCTTGTTGTTTACATCCTCCTCTTTTATCTATTTTCTCCATCAATCAAAAGAATTTTTTTCTAAAATACAAAATTCTCAGGAATACGAGCTCTAGATTTTACAGATTCATATATAAAAAAAAACAAAGATCTGCTCGATTGTTCTTCCAAAATGTAGAGAAATTGTGCTCCGTGCGAACCTAAATCTGCAAATCGTCAGAAATAACAGTCAAAACGGGTTAAATCGAAGAACATATCACTTATCAAAGATCTGATTGTTAGAAACTCATTTGATTTGGGGTTGAGATAAGAAAAAAACTTACAGAAACGCTTACGATACCCAAAGCAACAATTCAACAACTTTATCTCATACAGAAAAGGAATAACACGTAGTTTTTGATGAATTTTGAAGATGAGGAATTATATGAATTTTTGTGGGATAATCAAAATCGCCTCCTTCGGGTACTTGATTTCTGAAGAAGAAATGGGTTTCATCTTCTTCTTCCTTGGCTTCCTTTGCAATTTATATATCTTGCACTCTGTCGTGAGATAAGTTCTGATGTGTGGTGACCCTTGGATTTGAATCAACGGTTGACGATGATCAACACATCTTCGGCTTAAAAATTGAAGGCTCCATAAGATATTTCCTCTTTTTCTATCTGGGCTTTCCTCACTTCACTTTTCACTATTACCTAATACCTAATGCGAAGCCCTCAAACAACACTCCAAGCCCATAGAGGCTATGGGTCGGGCCTACACAGACCCTTGAGATGGGCCTAAATCGGGTTATAGATTATGGGTCATGAGCTAACGCTCACACTTCACACAACAACAAATGAGACGAGAGGGGAAATATTATTGTTTTCTTTGTAAGTATGTCACTTAGTTTAATGTTTGTTAACTTATGTTGATCAATTAAAGTTTTTTAATTTATGCTAACAAATTTAATTTTATGTTATATTTATAGTTTTGGTTTCAAATTTATCACTTATGTTTTAATTTTTATGTCTGTAAATGGATTGATATTGATTATGAAATGAAATATTTTCTCATTGCATGTATTTATTCCTTAAGGTCAGCAATTTGAAGCAATGATCCTCTAAAATTTGAAGTTCAAGTTCAAATCTATTTGTGAACTCGATTTATAGCTAATCTTTGATATAATTTAGAATTCATATGAAACAAATTAGTTATTGTGATTAAATAAAAGCTACTAAATGTAATGCAAAATCGACCAACCGCTCATGTCATCTTACCATGGTGTCTTTAATGTTTGTTGTTAGATGTTTTCTGCAGCTATTAGCATCTTTATTTCATGTCATGGCATTGTATTTTGCATTTCAATTACATGCATTTTATTATTTTTGGGACTTATGTGCAAATTCAGTGGAACTGTATTTTTTGGTGTTTTGTAAGGGCATTTGAGGCTTTTAGCATGATTCATGGCCTACCAAAAACCTCTCATTTACTTCGAGAAAAATAGACCAAGAATGAAAAGGTAGAAAGTTTGAAAAATACAATTGTAATCGTTACACATGTCATGTATTTTATATTGTCGTGTAAATTGAGATTTGAACCAAAAATGTTGTGTACTTTGGATTTTAAACGAGTAATATGTTTTGTGTTGTAATTTCACACAATTCGTCTGAATGGTCCTCAACAATAATGGGTAGTTTTTCAATTCGGCAAAAGTTTCTTAATTGTTATTTGTTAGGTACATTTTATGCGTTGTCTACCATGTTTTATATGCCTTTTATCATCATTTTATATACATAATCATGCATTGTAAACATCTTGGAATTGTACACATAATGTTATGTTTTAGTTTACTTTGGGTTTTATGGATTGATCTTTAGGATTTCAGAATGCAAGGAGTTGAGATCGGAAGCTTGGACTTCAGGATACTAGACAAAGAGAAGTGAATAAAAAGTTTGGATGACTAAGGGAAGAAAAAAACTTTAAGTAAAAACAAGTGACTTAGAAAACCAACTCAACATGCATGGTCATGCAACTTGTTCAATGTAGTTACATGGAAGTACAAAACAACAATGTATTTTACTGCACGGTCAAATAAGTATGTTTTTCAACAACATTTTCTTTAGTATTTAAGTAATGTGTCCATATTTTTGTTCAAAAATATTTTGTTTGTAAACCTTAAGGGTCGTATTTTCTATGGGAGGAGTGAATTTGGAGCCTAAGAAGTTCATTTTTTTTTATAATCGGAAGTCATTTAATTCTAAAAAACCATAAAAAAAAAAATAATAGGTTCGAAATCAAAACATATTCAAGTGTTTAGTGATTCAAAAAGATTTGTAATAGTTATAAGTAGAAACTTAAAACCCACATATCATTAACAAAATCGGAGAAGATTGGGTTGAGTCAAGTTCAAAAATGAATAATCGAAAATCATCAAGTGTGTTTCATGTTTGGTTTTCGTTATTTTTTACTTGATTTTTGCATGGTTGGTTTAATTTTGGTTCAAGTATTTTTTATTTTTATTTAGATGAATATCATATCACTGATGCACTTCATATATGGGGTTTTCTTGTATAGAGTTTTGATCAATTAGTATTATATTTTTTCTATATTTTGCAATACTGTAGAACTTGTTATTCGATACTAATTCAGTCTACTAGGGAGCATCGAGTATTCACCTTATACGGGGAGTACTCGAATATAGTATTTTATAAAGAAATTAATTTTGAGGAAATTAATTATATATATAAAAAAATCATAAGTTTAACAAAATTTATAACAAAGTATGTAAAATATCAATAAAAAAGAATGTATGTTCCAATGTTAAACTAGTTCAAAAAAGTAAACATTAAAATCATGAAAATTTAGAATATGAGAATGAGAGAGAGGAAATCATATACAATACGTTTATGCGGTAATTTACTTTAGTTTTAGGATTGATATATTAGATAAAGTATAAAATATACATATCAATGTTGAAATTCTTGAGTTTTTCTCTTTTTAAGTCAATTTTGATCATTTGAACGAGTTGGTCCGAGTTGGCTTAACTCACCTTAACTCACCACAATGACAGCTCAATCAGTTTAGGGGCTCTAAGCGAATCAAAAATTTGGGGTCCTTTGACATTTACTATAGTTAATGTTATAAACTCTCATCTTTTATCCGGGTTTGGGACCAACAATAATAAACTAAAAAGTTTATAATTTGCGGTTAATTTTTTTTTTATTATATATATATATATATATATATATATATATATATATATATATATATATA